TAGCTGGGACTATAGGTGCTCACCACCACGCCTGGCTAATTTTTTGTATTTTTAGTAGAGACAGGGTTTCACCATGTTAGCCAGGATGGTCTCCATCTCCTGACCTCATGATCCACCTGTCTCAGCCTCCCAAAGTGCTGGGATTACAGGCGTGAGCCACTGCGCCTGGCCAATATCTGTGTTATTAATCTATTGCTGTGTAACATATTATCCCAAACTTAGTGGCTTAAAGAATAAACATTTATTATCTTGGAGATCCTGTGCATCAAGAATTTAGGATGATGATCATTGAGACCACCTTGGAGGCTAGGTATCACAATTGTACCCAAAAACAAGTATTAATAGCAATTCTTCCTTCTTGTAAGCAGACTCACTCCACCTCCTATGTGCTGTGCTGTATTAATGTCATCAATGTCCTTATGGCTACCAGCCTCAAAACCTTGGGATCATTTGTGAGCTTATTCCTTCTCCACATTCAATTATTTGGTGAATACTGTTGATTCTTCCTCTTCCTTGAATTTGCTTCAGTCCTTTTGTCGAGGGCCTTGATCACTTGGATCCTTCAAGTGGCTCCAGCCCAATTTTAATAATGCTCCAGCCATGCCCCCAAACCTTCACTGGGACAGAGGCTGTAAAGGAAGAGTTGCCTAGGTTTGACTACATAAAAATAGAAAACGTTCGTATGTCAAAACAAACACTATAAATAAATTCAAAGAAAACTGAAAAGGTGCCAAAAATATTTGCAAGTATTGACTTAATGGTGTTAACCTTTTATTAAGTCAATAAAAAGATAAAATCCATATATGAAGTCATCATACAAAAATTTGAAACTCATTAGAAAACTAAGAAATTGGGAGTTTATTCAAAGAAAAACCCCACAGATAAAGTTAGAAAACAAATGTCCAACAGTAGGTAATTTGTTAAGTAATTTATAAAAAAGTAAGTGGCTATTAGAAATCATGTTGTAGGTAAAGCATTGACATGGAGAAAATTTCAATGTTTGCAATGTTTGAGAAAATGGTAAGCGTAGAATGATATCATCTTTGTAAAAATATATATATTCTCCATATATATGTATACCTACAAATATGTTAATATATTCACAAAGAAAAAGAGACGCAGACTGTTATTATTGAGGTAGAAAGTGGGGTTTGCCTGGTGCATTTTTTTTTTTTTCTTTTGAGACAGAGTCTCGCTCTGTCGCCCAGGCTGGAGTGCAGTGGTGCAATCTTTTTTTTTTTTTTTTTTTTTGAGACAGAGTCTCGCTCTGTCGCCCAGGCTGGAGTGCAGTGGTGCAATCTTTTTTTTTAATGAAAATAGAAAAGAAATAAGATCACATCTCTGTGGCTCCTATGGCCCTCCTTAGGGTGCCCTGAAAGGCCCTATGAGATGCCAGCCTCCTGTGTTGCCCTGACTTTTCTCTGTGGTACACTTCCTCTCTCCTTATTCAGGTCCTCAACAAGGGGTTTTCTGCAAACGTCCTAGCTAGTGTAGCTCCCCAGCCACAATCACACCTTATCACCTTATCACACCGCCCTGGTTTCTGGTTTCTTTTTTGTTTGTTTTTCTTTCTTTTCTTTTCTTTT